CGGCCTTACCACAAAAAGGTGGTAAGCTTTCCCTGCAGAGACCCTGCAGGAATGTGGAGACCACCTGCCTGCCCCCGAATAGAGCCCACTAGGGAGCAGAGAGTTCCAGTGTCCTTCTCTCATCGCCTAAAGCCCTTGCAACCTCTTCAGTGATTGGCTAAAATGTTATCACTCCTGCTCTGCGGGTGAGCAAACTGAGACACCAGGGACCAAGTCAGTGGCTCAGGATTCTGAAGCTGGCAAACAGGGTATCAGAGTACTAATCCACGCGGTCAGTCCAGTGGTGAAGCCCGTGTCCTTAGCCACTGCACCATAGGCCACAAGACCCTGTACATGGTCAGTGTCATGTCATGACAGGTGTGGGAGCTGTCCGCCATGCTCCGTATTCTAAGTCTGCTGTTGATGAAGGTGTTCAGCTCTCTCCCTGGGTGGCTGAGAGATGCTCTCTCAGGCACACGCAGGAAGCATAAGCAACAAGTGAAGGGCGGGAAATGGGAGCTTCTGAAATCAGCCTTCAGAACAGTTTCCGCGAGTGGAAACCATCCGAAAGGACCTCCAGGCAAGCCAAGCCGCCCAGCTAGGGGACGCGTGGGCTGTTGCAACTAGCCCTGCAGACCCCTCCCACCTGCCCCCATTACAGGATGACAAATCCCTCTCCCCTTCCCTTTCTCCCCAGCACACAGGCTCAGAATGCCACCAGGGCTGCTCCATGGAGGGGGAATTCACTAACTCAGGTGGGCCCCAGGACAGACAGGAAGTCCCCACCTGCTCATCTCTGATGGCTTGTGAAAGCGAGACATGCATTCTCTTTCACACCCTGGGTGTAAGTGTGTGTGCACTGTGTGAGTGTGACATGAGAGTGTTTGTGACAGCGTGAGTGGGGACGGGGCATGTTATGCCAGGGGCTCCACCTGGGACAGCAGTGTGATGAACCAGGAGCCAGGTCTAAACGACAGGTGCTTAGGGAGGGAATCCCTGGGGAAATTCCATCCCCTCACTTCGTTCCACCCATTCCCAAAGCCCTGGGGCGGGGGTCCTGAGCCCCTCCAGCTGTTTTCTGCTGACTACAGATTTTTCATAAGGAGGGATACAGGAGATTAAATTCTCTGCATGGCTGAACTGGCCCAGTAAGCCCACTGGTGCCCATCAGATCACCAAACGGCAGAGCTTAAGAGCCCATCCAGTAGAGTCAACCCATTTCACGGATGAGAAGCCCTAGGGCAAGAGAGAAGGAGAACCCAGCCCAGGCTAGGGCCTGCAACACGTCCACACTATACGTTTACTGTCTTCCTGAACCACGACAGTTCTTTGAGACATGTCTTCTGCCCCTCATAGCCGGGAAGGTCTAGGTAGGGGAAGAAAAGCCAAAGAGCCCCAGCGCCAACTCCCCGTCCGGTGCTCTTCTAGCCCGGCAGCTAACCGCTCGGGATTCGGCCTTCCCACGTTTGAGGCACAAAGGGGTGAGGGGCAGGGAGAAGGGGATGTCGTAGGGTTGGCTGTTCATGTCAAGCCAGGTCAGAGGCACGGGCTGGCAGCCTGCTCACCATCCCTTTAGTGACAAAGGGTCCCTGGCCTGGGTCTCCTGGCAGTCTGAGCTGAGTGACTGTCAGCTCTAAGCCTGCCTGAGGAGGCAGGTCCCCGTGGCCACACTGAGCTGGCTTGCAGGATGCCCGCCTCACTCCCTGCTCCCCCAACCCCAGTGCCAGGCGACATCCTCCTCGACAGGTGGCCACACATGGAGCTTGGGTCCTTCAGGAGAAGATGGGGCCTCCACAGAGGCATGGCCAAGCTGAAGTGGGAAATGCAGGGCCTTCTGCCACCCTGGCCCTGGCCTGGCCTCCCACCCTTCTCCCCCGCCTCTCCCTTTCCTCATCCTTTCCCCTCTGTCTCGGCAAGCTCTCCGTGCCCGACTCTCCCTCGCTCTTTAGGAAGGTCTGCTCTCCCGATCCCGTCTCCCCTTACTCGGCAGCGTGGGCTGCTCTCTGCCGCACCGTCTTTGACTTTTCTCCATCCGACTGCTTTTCTCTCTCCAAGTGTCTCTTCCTATCATGGGCTCTCATTTGCTCTTTTCTTTGTCTCTGCCATGACGGTACTGGAGTCCAAAAGCCTCAAGTTCTAATCCAGACAAGGTCCCTTCCCAGCTATTTGATGAAGGCAAGTCATTTTACCTCTCAGCACTTCAGATTCCTAATCTGTAAAATGGGGAATAACAAAGTGCATCTCACGAGATCCTCAGGAGAAGTTGGTACAGAAGTCAAATTCCAAAGCAGTGGGATGAAGACACTGCAGGTGACAACTCCAGGGCTTCTGGTGGCTTGGCCCACATGGCCCCATCCTGTCTGGCTCTGCCTCTGATCTCTTCTACCTCCTCTCACTGTCTCTTCTACCTCCTCTCACTGCCTCTTCCTCAGTAAAGGCGGCATGGCTATCCGTGCTCCCTGGCCCCCTCCCTAGGAAAGAAGATTCCCGAAGCCCGTTCAGCATGAAGATAAGCCAGCAGAGTTCCAGAAGTACCTCCTCTGCATGTGCAAAGGATGCCCCTTTCTTTGCCTACAAAATTGGCGCAAAGAAGACATTGTTAGCCCCCAGCGCAGGAAAGCCAGCAGGTAGGCCGGCTCCCGTGCTGCTGCTGGACAGGAAGGCAGAGTGAGGTTCTGTCCACGGCAGCGTGCCCACAGCTGGCACGGCCCCTCAGGGAGCAGGGCACTGGCAGTTTTAGTGAGTGCCACAGGAAGCTGCTTTTATTATTAAAATTGTTGTTATAAAAAGACTTCGCAATTGTTATTTTTAAAACCTATATCAGGCGCTGATCTAAGCACAGGAAGGTTAAGGAATTTACCTCCAAACACACAGCTGTTATAGTAAGGCGCTGGGCTGAGATTTCAAACATATAAAATTATAAAAACGTAAAATATTCAAAACATACATGGGACCAGCAATTGGTGTAACACCTAGGTCGCTAGACTCCCATATAGTCGACTGTGGTTCGAGTCCCAGACCCGGTGGCTTCAACGCACATTGGGTACGTGTGCGTGAGTCCAAGATCCTGAGAGGAGAATGAAGGAAAAGGGATTGCTGTGTGGCCAACCTCCCAGGGGGTTGATTTCTTGCTTTTTGTCTTTCTGTCCCTCTTTCTGGCGAGCACATGCATCCTATAGCAAAAACCTCTCCAAAAAATATATATATTCATAACATACGTATATTTTGTCTATGCATACATATATATTAATGTATGAGAGGGTCTTCAAAAAATCCATAGGAAATACATATTGTAAAAAATTATGCATAGATTTCACAATTTTATTCCATTTTCCACAAACTTTTTGAAGCGCCCTTGTAAGGAGTTGAAAGACAAGTTAATTTTGGTGCAAAAATGATTTTTAAATCCACACATAGTTCTTCATAATATGCAGTTTCCATGAACGTTTTGAAGACCTGCATTTCTGGTCTATCAATATGTAACATATATAAGACCATGAAGCATGTGTATCTAACATTCATGTTTTATATAACGTGAAATATAATTTATGGTTTATATAGAATGTGTACATAAGTTTATATAAAAGCATATCAAATTTTATACATATAACATATAATTTATATGTACTTCTATATAAAATATTTAAGGCATATAAAAATTTACAAAGGAGACCATTATAGCACTATAAACAGCCTGTAAATGTCTGTCTACCTTAGACAGTAGTAAGCTCTCCATCATGGGCAGTGTGCAGGCAGCAGGTGAAGGGCTGTCTGTGGAGCTGCTAGGAAGGGGGAGCCTGTCTAGGAGAAGGGGTGCACAGAACTACACACTCGGTGGCCCTGGGTCCCCAGTCCTCACAGCCTCTTGGAGTGTTAGCTGGGAAGGGAGCCTGCCTCAAGTGCCTCTTTGCACGGTGCATGAGTCTGAGTGTAGACAGCACAGATGCTCAGAGAAAATGCCAGGAGCAGCCAGCTCGCCTTCCCGTTCAAGGTCTGGGGTTCAGGCTGCTGGGTCCTCTGAGTCTCCAGGCTGAGGAGGAGAAAGCAGCTGATGGCGACCTTTGCATGCGAGGAAGGCTGTAGCCATCCCCACGTGCCCCTGCTCACCACCCGCAGCAGGCGGTGCATTCATCGCACACATTGGGTCGGCTGCACGTTAGAGGGGACAGGGTTTACTGAGATGCCAGTGGCACCAGATGTGGCAGCTCTGCTCAGCACAGCACAGGGGTGTGTGGGAAAGATGCTCGGAGCTGCCGATTCTTCTCCCTGGGTCTGACTCCCTAGAGTCAGGGTCAGGAAACCCTGGTTCTCAATCCCAGCCTCACACTGATGGGCCTAGCTCACTGGTTCTGTCCAAGCCTTACTCTTCCCCTCTGTGAAGTAGGATAACACCTCACAGCGTGCCAGAGGAGAGGTGACCAGCTCAGAGCAGGCGCCAGGCTCCTTCCTCTGCTCAGGAAGCTGTGTGAATGTGCGACCACATAAGACTCTGAAAACGGGCTAGAGTCCAGGGACGGTCCTCCCCTAGCCCAATCTGTCTTCCGTACAGACTCACTTCATTGCAGCCCCCTCCCTCTCTGGACCGGAGAAATGCAGGGCTCTGCTCTTTGGGTTGGCCACTGCCTGCCTGCACCAGCGGAATGAACCTGTGATGGCCTTCGGAGTCTGTTTCCCGTGCTGCCCAGGAGAGCTGCACAAGCCAGGATTGAAGGCGGCTGCCCAAGACAGCTGACCCGCCTATGGTGGTCTAGTGTCCTTTCATCCTGGTATCTGTCCCAAGAGGAAAGGGGACACTGGATTCATTCCCATCCGAGGGGGAAACAGAGGTTTCCAGAAAGGCAGGGAACCGCCTTCTCTCTGCTTCAAGTGCAGTATAGTTCCCACGTTTGCTTTATGTTTTCCCCAGAAAAATCAAATCAAATCACCGTAGTAAGGCCATGACTCGGACGTCCCTCTCTTCCCCAAACACCTATCAAACCTGTCAGCTCTTTAACCCCGTCCCAGAAGTGTCGTGATCCCAGCACTCTCTCCATGCGGGGTGTTTCTGAGCGTCACAAAGGAAGCCAGAACTCCTGTAGCGTGAGTCCTCCCTCCCCCCCCACTCGGAAATAAAAGGCCTTACTCATTTGGGGAAGAAGGAGCCAAAGCAGGCATTGGCAGCTGACTGGGCTGGGAGAGGGTGGGGAGCATGTTTTGGGGGGAGGGGAGGTGTCAAAGACGTGAGCTCAGCAAAGCCACCTCTCTATTTTGCTGTTCCCTCTGTTTCCTCCCAAAGCAGTCCCTTACTTGGGGAGCATGTGACTATGATCAGGGCTCCATTTGCATGAGAAGTTCTTGGGAGGGAAAAAGGACTTGTCACATTTCTCCCACAAGAGTGTGTTCACACCAAGAACAAGGGAGATGCCAACAGTGGCCTTTGCCGTCACAGAAGTGGCAGCTGAGTTGAAGAGTTTCTTCCTCCAGGCACATTCCCCGTCTCCCTAGGAGCTGACTTCTCTCTAGGGAAAGCGGATCTCCCTGTCACCAGCACAGCTTCCCGCCCGCCCTGTGTGCTCAGCGCTCCAGTTAAAGACATGTCCTGTCTCTGCCACAGGTTTATGACGCCCTGTTCAAGGATGACAGTCTCCTCTCTGGGCGAGAACAGGAGAGCCAAAGCCAACTGTTACAAAACAGGCTTCTTGGAAGGACGCGGTGGGGGTGGGGAGGGAGACCCACAGTCAAACTAGGACAGCATTTCCCAGGAGAAGCCAAGCAAGACTCCACATGATTTCAATCAGGGAAGGACACCGGCTGTTAGCCACTCCACCTCCCAACTGGAGCCAGACGCATCCACATGTCTGCAAAACATCCTGTCTCCCCAGGGTCCGTGCCTCTTCCCACCTCACAGCCCTTGCCTCCCAGGCACACCTGAACTGTCCCCAGGTCTCACCGCCCTCCGAGACCCACTCGCACATGGACGTGGCTCACAGAATGTTCTGTAGCTCCCATAGTGTTGGACATGAAGCTATGAAACAACACAGAACCTAAGCTATTCCTGGGCCGCTGCTCCTGGGGGGACATTTCAGGGTGTTACACAGGAAATGGTGTGGTGGCCCTGTTTGTGCTCAGTGGGGGATGTATTTCCAGATGGAACTCCCGGCAGGAAATCCAGTGCCTCTTTCCAGCAAGGAGAGGATTCAGACTCCCCTTCCATGAGCACATCCTGGAGAAAGCCCCAGGTCTCCAGGTCTCCAGATCTAGGGCCAAACGCTCAGCCCCCGCAACCTGGGCCCTGAAATACGCGACATTCCAGGGCAGGCTCAGTCAGGAGGGCCTGGGGTATGACTCGGGCCCAAGTAGAGACCAGGGCCAACAGCTCCAGGCGAGAGCCACAGGGCCATGTCTGGGTGGCACGGAGCAGTGTCCACAAGCCTCCTGCTGCTCAGTGGGGCTGGACGAGACCTCCCCATGAAGTCCTGCCCCGCTGGGAGCCTGTCCGACTGCAGGGTCTCTCTTCCAGAGCATAGGTTCCCTCTGCCTGCCCATCCTCGGGTCTTTGTTGCTACATCCCCAGGTTGAGAGCCCACTGATAGGACTGCCCACATGTATCTGGGCCCAGAGGGTCCTGCCTGCCTCCCAGTCATGATTCACGTCATCGAGTGAAGCCAGATGGAGAGCTCGGCTGAGGGACCCCTCCAGCTGAGCCCTTGAACTCCACGGCTCACAGAATATCCCCCCACTGCACCCTGTATGGGGAATTCGGCCTGTGTCCTTCCTCTGTCTCACCATCTGACCTTGGCACCGCCTGTGTCCGTACCGTCTGACCTTGGCACCGCCTGTGTCAGTGTAGGGACCACACTCTGCCTGGGCAAGGGCAGCTTGACCAAATGATGCCAGAGGTTCCTTTCTGCTGTGGGAACTCCCAGGTTCTGCCCTCTGAGTTCAGTTCTCAGGGGGGTCGGCTTTAAAACTTGGGCACCGAGAAAAGCCCAGTAGTTAAGGATTCCAATCCTTTATCACCAAGCAAAGACACAACCCAACTCTTTCACAAAGGCCTCTATAGACAGCCCTGATCCACCATGGTTTGACAGGTTTTTTGACTATGATGGTGGGAAAGTAACACACGTTCGGTAGGAGCGGTACTTCAGACTCTGAATTTCGATCTTTTCCCGGGCTAGTCAGATGTATTTTGCAGTTACAAATCAACATAAGATGTATTTCACAGTTACAAATCAATGTGAGATGATACTCAACTTCACAGCTGACCAGCCACCAGGTGAACGACTGATACCCCACAGGTTCTGTGCTGGCTGCAAGTGTTCAGGATAAGACGTGGCCAGCTCCAAGCTCATGCTTGTGTTCTGGGCATGTTTGAGCTAGGCAGGGCTAAGCCACAATGTGTGGCAGATCAGGCGTATTAAACGCATTTTACCTCACAGTATTTTCGAAGTACGGTGGGCTTACTGGGACATAACCCATCCTGTTTCCTCCTCCGCCCTGGAAGAAGCTCAGTGTTGTGCTTTCTCATGATCTTCTCCCTGTCCTATCTGCTCCTCACCCGCCTGCCATTGGTCCACCACAGTGGCCACCCACAGGGCCACGCGGTGCTCCTTCCCATTCTGAAGTGGGCTGAGCCTGAAAGCTGGAGAGGAGGTCAATGGGGGCCAAATGGAGCCTGGAGCTTTTAGGTCACAGGCATTAACCTGAGGACCGTGGATGGCTTTTGAAGGGACAAGGGTCCCTGTGTGGGAGCAAGTTCACTTCCATTTTCCTGGAGTGTTCTAGTCAAGTTCTCAAGGTGTTCTGTGACCCGGAAAAGGCTCAAAACCAAAGCAGAATGAAAATAGGAGACTGTTGAAGATGTCTGTTCGGCAGAGTCACCCACCCCTTCAGCACTATTTATGAAGGCCTACTACGTGCAGGGCACCATGCTGGGTGCCGAGCACACAGTGGTGATTGGAACTGTCCTATGGTGCTTATGGTCTCAGGACAGACAGGGGGATCACTAATCAGAGGCACACCGGATGAGTGTGAAACGACAGGTCCTCCACAGAACGGCCTGAGAAGGAGCCCAGAAGTGGCCAGCACCCTGCCGTGGTGCGGGGAGAAGTTTGGGAGCTCAAAGATGGACAAGTGACAGGCCAAAAGCCAGAGCCAGATGCTCCTGGAGTGGCCAGCTCCCAGCCTGGCCGACACACGGTTTGAGGTAAGGAGAGTGGACAGGGGCCCAGCGGGGAGGCTCTGGCAGGTAAGCCTGTGGGGGTGGAGATGAGAGACTCCATCTGACAGATGAGAACATGGAGGCACGAAGAGTTTAGGCAACTGAAGAAGGCCCTGTGGAGTCCTCCTGCCACCTCACAAGGGCCTCCATCTTCAGAGCACCATAGTAGGGTCTGGGGGAACCCACACTTCTAAAAGAGAATGCCTCACCTACCCTCAAAACCTGCTTCTGCTGCTGCCCCTGCTGACGGTCGAATGTGCAAGCTCCTTAGAGGTGGGGCTTGATTAGCAGAGGGCCAGGCTCGTGGAAGGGGACTGAAAAGTCTGGAAAGTTGGAACTGAAGTAGTTTGTTTTTGTGCAGAAATCTCAGAAATCCAGTCATAGGCTTTTCCCAGTGTGCATTCCCCTCGTAGCAGAAGACGGCAAGTTGCCTCAAGAAGGAATGTGTTGCTAGGGGCTCTGGCTGTGGCCCTATGACACGCAGGGCCCCTGCTCCCGGGGAGTGCAGGTGACAGAAGAGTAGAGGGAGTCGACTCTGGGTCTTGCACCAAACCCTACCCACAGCCGCCAGATAGGGAATCAACATGGACTCAGATGAGCTCATCGTCAGTGGGCAGAGGAAAACACAACTGAGCTTGGGTCGCTCAGTTCCAATGCAGAGCCTGGAAGCACCGCTTTTGGGGGTCAGAAAGTTTGACCCCATCAGGTACTGGAGAGTCATCACCCGTTAGATGACAAAATATGCTGGGACCAGCAGCTAGCGTAATGGCTATGTCACTGGACTCCCATGTAGCCAACCGCAGTTCAAGTCCCACCGGACCTGGTGGCTTAAACTCACACCAGGCGTGTGTGTGTGCGTGCGTGCCCAGGATCCCGAGAGGAGAATGGAGGAGAAGGGATTGCGGCATGGCCATCCCCCCGGGGGCTGGGATTTCTCACTTTCTATCTCTCCGTCTGTCTCTGTCTTTCTGGAGAGCACACATACCCTATAGCGAAAAAAAAAAAAAAGAAAAAAGAAAGAAAGAAAGAAAGAAAATCTCTTAAGAAAAAAAAAAACCACCTAAGCTGCTCCCCCGCCTCGCGGAACAAGCGAACGTTTATGAATTCGAGGGGGGACAGACTGCGTAAGTGTGATGTGTACAACAGTGTGCTCTGCCAGGGTGCCCTTAAGGAGCCCCTTTACACAAACACCTAGAGAGTCTTGGGCTTTGCAGAAGGGCCTCCTCTGAGGGATTAAAACCCAAGGTCGCTGTGCAGCCAAGCCTCCTCTCCACCCCAGCCCCTTCCCAGCCACCACAGCCGGGTGTCCTCCGTCCCCTTCCTCCCCGTCCATCGCCGGCTCCCTCCTGGACTGTGCGCCAGCTCCTAGGCTCACCTGTCCTGCTCTAGCCTCCTCCTGGACACCAGACTGAACTTTCCAGAACGCAGATCTGAATGCAGCACTCCAGCCCATAGCCCTCCAAAGCTTCCTTCAGGCCCTGGAGATCGTGTCCCAGCCTCCACTGAGGCTGAACTTGCTTCAGCATCCAGGGCCTGCCTGCTCTCTCCTCTGGCTCCCTCCCCAGCTTCACTTTACTGCTGCTCTGGCATCACCCCGCCCGTCCAGACTCTCTGTGGCCAAGGCCAAGCCAGTCACCTCAACCCCACCCACTTCGGACTGCCCCCTTCCCCTGCCCAGTAAATGGCACCCCCTCCAGCCAGCCAGGAGCCACACCCAGGGGGCTGGCCCCTCCCTGGACACCGCCTGCGCCCGCCCCCCACCTCTCCTGCGCTCATCCTTTCTCCCACACGACGACCTCTCCAGTGATTTTTCTGCCTCTACTTCAGCTGTTCCTCCCCAAAGCCGTGCCAGCTACTGCTGCAAACCTGTGTCAGCGTTTCCCACACAGAACCTGATTTCGCACTTATGCGAATGCTCCCAGCTCTGGCAGTGCGTTCCTGCAGATGGCGATTCCCGCTAAGTTCCTCCATCCTGGGATGCTGCCTGGGGCCTCAGACTTCCCTGCCAGCAGACGGTGGAAGAGAAAGAGTGGAGTCCCAGTTCTTAGAAGCCCAGCTTTCTCCCTCACATCCCACTGGTGAGAACTGGTCGCAGGGCTGCACCTGGGCCCAGGGGGTCCTGGGAAATGTAGTTCTTCCACAAGTGGGGGAGGGGCGTGTTTCTTGATGAACACCAGCCGCCCTCTCCCGTGCACGGGTGGCCAGTCAGAGATCTGGGAACACACACGCACAGGGTGTCCTCTGCACGGTGCGGCTCACCTCCTCGGCCTCATGCCACCCACACTCTGTGCTGGGCCTTCTTGCCATCACTTGGCATGAGCCATTGCCTCTGCCCAGCGTGCCGTGACCTCCACCCCTCACTTACTGAGAGGCCCCTCGTCATCCTTCAAGACTCAGGGCAAAACCTCTTTCCCGGCCTCCCTCTCACCCAGGAAGCCTGTCCTCCATGAGCGCCCAGAGCAGCTGGCCTTCCCCACTCCTAGCTTATTCACAGGCTCCTGATGCCTCGCAGGGTCACAGCCCCTGGGGCGGCTGGGGCTGAGCACAGTCAAACTTACAGAGCACTAGCGGAGATTGGGGTGAGGTGCCCAAGGCCTCGGGTGCCATCTGAAAAGCCTGGGATGTAAGTGCCTGTCAACAGATAAACAGATAAAGAAAGGCAACATAGATATAGACATACACACGCACAATGGAATGCTATTCAGCCGCTAAAAAGATGAATTCTGGTCTTCTGAGCTAAAATAGGCGAGCCTGCAGAATGCTTTGGTAAGCGAAATAAGGCAGG